CTATAACCTGGCACATTCAGTTTTTAAAAAAAAGCTGGAAATAAAGGTCACATTCTGGATCTTTACTCACGCTCCATCAAAACTGTGTCACATGATAAAAATTAGGCACCCCAAGATGATCTGCTTAAACAAATACATGTAGACCCATGAGCTACTTTGGGTGAATCCCCACAAGCGCACCTTGCCGACAAGAGCATCCTCAACTCAATGGTAACTCCTCTGTCCAAATAATAAACAAAAATAAAAAGCGCGACCCTTTGCACATCTAAGATAATCAAGTGAATAAGAGTAGCACATGGCTAATCTGCATAAGACAGAGAGGAAACTCCCTTGGCGGGTGAGAGATGCTGGACTGCCTTCTGATTGGCTTCGGGGGAGGATTGGGGGGAAATTTTCTGCAGTTAAACTTGTGTGGCACGCCAGACACAGCAGCAAAGAGCGCATACACACATGCGCACACACACACCCTCGTGGGGAAAGCTCAAATTTGTCTTTTATTCTACTGTGTGTGTATTAAAAAAAACAACCAAAAAACAGCCATGTGTTTATTGCATTAGCTCGAGAATTTTAAAAATATGGTATATCAGTAAATAAGAGCCCATTTACCCATGATGTGAACTTTACTGTGTTAATAGTGTCTGGTGTATATTCAAACACTAAAACAAACTACTTACACCCCTTTTTGGTGTAACAAGCTGCACCCAGAGCCCACAGCAACACATTTCGCATTTTTGGTCAATATTAGCAAATGATGGGAGCAAAACTACAAATCCACACACCATTCAGGTGCGAGCTGCTCCAACCGTGGATTTATTTTGCAAGTAAGAAGTGGAGCTTAGAGGAGGAGAGAAGCAGCAAAAAAATAAAATCTCTGGTGACCCTGTGATGAGTTAATGCTATGTGCTCTTATCAGCAACTGTTGCCTTGCATCACATGTAATTATAAATGGCCATGAGCAGCGGATGAGGAGCCAATCAGATTTCAGCTAGCATGTCAACCCAAGACCAACTATCTCCTGGCTTTGACAGTAGGATTTTACCTCCACAATTCAAATCCCAGTGCAAACTGCAATCTGCTGACTGCATTCAAGTCACTCATAAAAAGCAGGGATGATTGTTTACAGGCGGCGTGCATGCGGGGAAGCCGAGCGGCTTTTCAGCACGGGGAAATTCTTTTTTAATCAATATATGACCCAAACTAACAGTTTAACCTTTCCCCAGCGAGCAAACTGTGATATTTACGCAATTTAAACAAGACCAACATGAGCCATTTTAACCAACTGTGCGAGACTCGCTCGACACGAAACGCATTCCTTCCGTCATGGCCACCGAAATACAGTTTATCGCACAAGAAAACAACACAAACACGAAGGTATGAGCAACCGCCACAAACTCACACGTATAAGGACACGTTACTGTAGCTGTGCACCATCACACGGATGTGTTCGCAGCAAAAATTCATTGTAAATTCAGCACGTAAAAGGAGAAGCAAAGCTATGAGAGAAAAAACGAACCGTTGCTCTTCAGCGACTATTTTCGCCCCCTTTTCAAAGTCGGGCCTTCTTGGCTTCCCCTGAACCGTCCTTTACAACGTTTCAACAACTTATATCCGCCTCGAGCGACGCTTCTTTGTTGCTAGCCAGCTTTATAAATACGTTAAAACAACTCTTATTTAATGGTGTGGTGAAAAGAAAAAAATTACACACAAGAGGCAGCCATTTTAGAGTCTTTGCGAACTAGTATCAGACAATGGCTGGCCTGCTACGTTGTGAACTAGCTAGGAGAAGGGAAGGAGACGTGCTAAAGCTCGTGCCTTGTTCCTGTTAAAATGGCTTTTACCTGGGTTCTTGCTAACGGCTGCCCAGCACTTCCAGGGCTCATAGGCGATGGGTGATGGCTCCTTTGTTGCCAAGCCGGATTGCTCCCTCCATACTGACCGCTACTGCCCATGTCTGCTGGTCCCTTGCTAGCTCCTTCTTGGCTACTATAGTCGCTAGACGGATAGTTTGGATATCCCCGCGTTGAGCTGGGGGAGGTTAGGAGCTTGTTGAGTGTCGGTGTGGATGTAGGTTGAGGGTTTCCAATGTTATATCTCTGATTACTGTAAGATCCAGCCATTGCCGTGGGTCCTCCCGCTGGTGGCTGCTGCTTAGCTGGTTGCCCCCCAGCTGTCGGCGCCTGGGCGCTGCGAGGGGAGTTCATGGCGTACGCTTGGCTGGGATACGGAGTCCTGTTCGGGAATGGGTTATAATTGTTGAACTGGTGGTTTGAAAAGCCATGGTCGTGTGAATTATGTTGATAAGGGTCCATCATGTTGCTCGACTGCACGACCGGACCCGCAGCAGCTGCCATGCCAGGGCTTTGTTGTCCGCCATGTTGATGAAAAGGGGCCCGACCGTAGTGCTGACTGTATCCGTACGAAGGTGGAGGAAAAGCCGCGCCGTGGTGATGCACCAAACCGGGGTGGTTATTTCCCTCCGGTCCGGCAGAGTCATTCTGGGTATTATTGTTAGCCCTGGGCGGGTTCCCATTCCCGTTCTTCATCTCAGGTTCTCCTCCTCCCCCTACATTTCCACCGTCGGCCCCGTCCTGCAGATCCCCCCTTCCCGGCGATCCGCCGTCCAAGCCCGGTTGCTTTTTGTCTGGCTGCTTCTCTCCCGGACCCGACTCGTCCTTGGCGTCTCGATCCGGCTTTTTGAGTTCGGACGGCGGACTAGTGTTAAGAGTGGCGGCGCTGGCGACCTGAGCGGCCATGATATACCCCCCACCTCTCTCTCCCTCTCTCGGCGAGTCAGTCACAATCAAAAGCTAGCATTGAATATAAATAATTGTTTAGAACCATTTATCCTTTTGCCGATGCATTCCCGCCCCTCATACCGGACCGAATCCGGCCTCCATCCTCCCGGTTCCGGTTCCGTAAATGGGTTAGAGAAATGATGGAGGCTCCATACAATGCGTAAAAAAAGCGACAGAAATTGTTGTGGGAGTTGTGTTACTGAGCCCGGGTAGAGGCAGGGAGCGAACCCAACCAACACGAGGCTCCGCTAGATACAGCCATTTTACTGAGCCGCACAGATGGCCGCAAAACGCGGAGTGGAGCTGTCACAGCGCGGACTGGATTTTTTTGTCTTCAGAAAACCTCACGTTGTCTCTCTATCTTTTTTCCCTTCTCCCCACCATAGGTGGAATATTTTCTGCACACGACGAGAGTCGCCCAAACTCATAAACAATGCACTTTAAACCAGCCGCCAATCAAGAGGCTGTATATAGATCACGGGCTGTAGGCTTGGTGAATACGTTTGAGGGTTTTGTGGACTCATCAGTACCCGGGAAAACTAATTAATGCGTAAAATATATATATATAATTTTTCCAAGTATTTGCATATATGTGGGTGCCACAGCTGCGCGCGTAAAGGTCGTTATTACGCACAGCAGGATACATAAATGCTGCAAACTTTGCACTGCATTCATTTAGCCTGCCTTCCACACACCCAGTTATATTTTTAGACTTTAAAAGCAAAAAGCTGTAACATTCAGCTCGTTTAAATGCGCCTTTGTGCTCTTGGCGTTATTGTGTTCCCCCCGAACAGTGTTTCTGAGTGGTATTTAGGCGAGAAAGGCAACGCACGCACAGGTTTTTCCACAGCAGAAGGAGGAAGCCTTGCAGCAAACGAGACTACCAATGCACATTCCCTTATTCCCTCCCCTGCCTGCTTTGCTCTGCTCTCTTCTACCACCCCCTCTCTCCTCTCTGTCTGTCTCTCACTCCAGCAGAAACACTCTCTGCCGAGTGTGGGGGGATGGGCGCGCAGGCTCCAGCTTCCCTCTCTCACCCCACTAACATTGAACTACACCGTTCAGAGGAGGGAGGAAGGGGGAAAAAATCAGGCAGACCTTATCTATCAGAAAGAGGATGCATGGACAGTTTCAAAGTCTCCCAAACAGTTAGAAAAACGAGCGTCAGAAAAACGTTCGTCCTCTGCTCAGTCAAATGAAGCAGACATGTTTTTTTTGGCACACACAGGGTGTTTGCGCACAGTGTTGAGCAGGGGTAGGATGGTAATGAAAAGAGTGTGTGCGAGGCTGAGGGAGTTTTTGTGGTTTTGGGGGGTTTTTTTGTTTTTGTTTTTTTTGGTAGTAATAATTAAATGCGAATTTATTAGACGGTTTACGAGGCATTTAATAGTTCGGACTGTGTATTGATTACAGTTCAGAATCGTGCTGTAAATGGGACGACATTGCCTTTCGGTTTCTGTTCTCACTCTCGACACACACGCAAACTGTCTCTTGCTCTCTCTCTCTCTTTCACACAAACACACACGCATCTACCTCTAGGGGGCTTAGAGAGGGGGGGGCACAGGAAGTACCACTGAGACGGCATACTTGATCACATGTACAAACATCGAAACACAATTTAACATTCTGCCTGACACACCCCCTAATGCACACACACGTACACTTAGACACAGAGCTTTGCAAGGAAGGACTGTACACATATAATTTCATAGCCACGTCACACCACACAGGGTTAATGCGATTTCCCACACCAGCGCGAGCTCTCAAAGTGGATCACGCTTTATTTCAGTCTGACTTCCAACTTTGCACGAAAGCGCTGGCACACCGAGGCCCCCCGTGTTAAAACCAGCGTCTATGGGCTCCTTTTTAAGTTGGCAGGGTTACGATTTTTATTTTTTTTTAATGTGGGATGTTGAGCTGGGGAGAGTGAACTGGGAGTAGGACAGTAAAGTCAGGGGCAGTCAATAGGGAGAAGTTTTAGTTGTATTTCGAAAGACAAGAGGATCTTCCATCCTAGAGACCAGACACAGGGCCAGTTGTGCAGAAACACAGATTTAATGTGGCTTCCTCTCCCCGCCTGACTTAATTTTTTCGGCTCTGGCTGGTTGAAAGACTTGGAGCAGACTTTTGTGGATCAGGGAGAAGCATTTGCGAGCACATGTGCCATCTGCTGGTGAAACAGCAGATCCATATATACAAGGACTCAACTACTTATGATGCCTTACTTAAGGGCTTTATTGAACCATTTCAGTCTTTGTCATAAAAGAATCATCTCTGGATAATATGCAGTTGTCTTATAAATGTTTATAGGATTATCCACCTTTTCCTTTACCCTAAAACACTGCTCAAAACTTCCCTTTTCACCAGAAAATCGTGCAACTGTTAGGAGGCAACTGAGGCTCTGGAGATTATATTCCACTGCGTGTCATGTTTTTATGCATGCAGGCTTTATCAGACATCTTCCTCGTCATTCCAGTTTGTGCGTATCTGCCATTATTCACGCAAAACATTTCATTTTTGCACCCATAATAAGAATAAATGGCCATATTCATTACAGTCACGTTGTTGTTTCAGCTCAACGATCATATCAGGGCTACAAGGCAAAACATGGGCTCCCAAGCATGTATCAAACTCAAACAAAAATGAAACTGAATGACTTTATTTTTTATCCATTTGTAAAGAAGACATTTCTTTTTTGCCTACAAAACATTACAAAAAAAAAAAAAAAGATTACTCAGCCCACACATTTGCTCCCTTTAGTCTTCGTCACTGTGATTCTTTCATGAGGTGTGGTGCGACCGTGAAGCATCTACAGCACCCACATTTAGTTCTTATGTCTCCACTGCTTCTGCAGAGAGGCTGAGAAGAATTCAGGCCAAGTGAGATGGATGTTCCCAGGACCCCCTTCGTATACTGCTGCTGAAGGGGTGACCGCTTTCGTGCTGTTATTTGAGCTTTTCCATTTACAGCTCCATCATTTCCTCTTCCACAGTCTTTCCACTGGTTTCAACATACCTCTCTTGCACCCCGAGAGTACTGGTTGGTTAAATGTTAAGGAAAACCTGACAAACTACACATAAATTGGCTGTTATTTCTTGGCGTAAGAAATCCTCTCAATAAAACTGTAAACACTTATGCTTTTCAGACACCTCCTGTAAATCTTTATATTTGGCATCAAACCAGATGAGTCACTGTGAGTCACCACGACGATCAGGAAAGGATACGAGTTGAACTGGAAGTCTGCCCCCACAGCAGCTGACATCATGGCCTGCAGATTCCTCTCCTCCAGGTCTCCAAAGCAGTAGCCGTTGGCCTTGTCCACTGCTCGTAAGACCTGAATCATGCTCTCTTTGTCCTGGAAACCGAAAAGAGAAGTGCTTGATCCGGGGCTTTCCCACAAAGAGAAACTACCCACTGATCCCCTCAAGTGAGATTCACTTTAGAAAGAGGATGACAAAGCCTTTTTGAAAATGTGTGAGCACAGATTTTTCAGATTCTTCTTTGTGTGTTATAAGGTGTTGTCATAATGACATAAGCAGCACGCACATGCAAAGCAATAAATCCTCAAACTTCACTGACCTCTAACACTTTGCAGCTCTTTCTCAAAGTCGAAAGCTTTTATTTTTGGCTGCTTTAGGCACCATAAGTGGGTAACCAAGGTAACTAATGGCTGCTTAAACTAAGAACATGTACAAAGCATGTGTGCCAACCTGCCTCACGCATAACTTGCTGGTGCCACATGCAGTGATGGCACATGGTCTAGACTCCTGTCTCTGCACACACAGGATCAAATCACTCTTTATAAAGAAGCGATGTCAGGGAACGAGTGCAGAGTGCAGACAGCCCTCTCCCCCAATCCATCTGCACAAAATTGATCCAACCTTCAATTTGAAACGCTAAAAGCGATTTATGATTTAACGGTTCAAATAATGAAATACGAGGCATGTGACTTTTTAAGGGAAACGAACTGTGACGTCTGGTCAGAAGAAAGTAAAGAACTCTTATTTTGCACTCAACATCTCACAGAAGCATGATGCAGATACATTAATTAAGTAATAACAATGAAAATTTGTCGAGTTCACTGGCAAGACATGGCATTTGTTTTTACAGTGGGGCAAAAAAGTATTTAGTCAGCCACCGATTGTGCAAGTTCCCCCACTTAAAATGATGACAGAGGTCAGTAATTTGCACCAGGGGTACACTTCAACTGTGAGAGACAGAATGTGAAAAAAAAAATCCATGGATTCACATGGTAGGATTTGTAAAGAATTTATTCGTAAATTAGGGTGGAAAATAAGTATTTGGTCACCTCAAACAAGGAAAATCTCTGGCTCTCACAGACCTGTAACGTCTTCTGTAAGAAGCTTTTCTGTCCCCCACTCGTTACCTGTATGAATGGCACCTGTTTGAACTCATCATCTGTATAAAAGACACCTGTCCACAGCCTCAAACAGTCAGACTCCAAACTCCGCCATGGCCAAGACCAAAGAGTTTTCGAAGGACACCAGGAAAAGTATTGTAGACCTGCACCAGACTGGGAAGAGTGAATCTACAATAGGCAAGCAGCTTGGTGTGAAAAAATCAACTGTGGGAGCAATCATCAGAAAATGGAAGACATACAAGACCACTGATAATCTCCCTCGATCTGGGGCTCCACGCAAGATCTCATCCCGTGGGGTCAAAATGATCATGAGAACGGTGAGCAAAGATCCCAGAACCACACGGGGGGACCTGGTGAATGACCTGCAGAGAGCTGCGACCAAAGTAACAAAGGTCACCATCAGTAACACACTACAACGGCAGGGAATCAAATCCCGCAGTGCCAGACGTGTTCTGCTGCTGAAGCCAGTGCATGTCCAGGCCCGTCTGAAGTTTGCCAGAGAGCACATGGATGATACAGCAGAGGATTGGGAGAATGTCATGTGGTCAGATGAAACCAAAGTAGAACTTTTTGGTATAAACTCAACTCGTCGTGTTTGGAGGAAGAAGAATACTGAGTTGCATCCCAAGAACACCATACCTACTGTGAAGCATGGGGGTGGAAACATCATGCTATGGGGCTGTTTTTCTGCCAAGGGGACAGGACGACTGATCCGTGTTAAGGACAGAATGAATGGGGCCATGTATCGTGAGATTTTGAGCCAAAACCTCCTTCCATCAGTGAGAACTTTGAAGATGAAACGAGGCTGGGTCTTCCAACATGACAATGATCCAAAACACACCGCCTGGGCAACAAAGGAGTGGCTCCGTAAGAAGCATTTGAAAGTCCTGGAGTGGCCTAGCCAGTCTCCAGACCTCAACCCCATAGAAAATCTGTGGCGGGAGTTGAAAGTCCGTGTTGCTCGGCGACAGCCCCAAAACATCACTGCTCTCGAGAAGATCTGCATGGAGGAATGGGCCAAAATACCAGCTACTGTGTGTGCAAACCTGGTAAAGACCTATAGTAAACGTTTGACCTCTGTTATTGCCAACAAAGGTTATGTTACAAAGTATTGAGTTGTATTTTTGTTATTGACCAAATACTTATTTTCCACCCTGATTTACGAATAAATTCTTTACAAATCCTACCATGTGGATTCATGGATTTTTTTTTTTTTTCACATTCTGTCTCTCACAGTTGAAGTGTACCTCTGGTGCAAATTACTGACCTCTGTCATCATTTTAGGTGGGGGAACTTGCACAATCGGTGGCTGACTAAATACTTTTTTGCCCCACTGTATGTGTACTCTCTAGACCTGTTAGTGGTCCACACAAACTGAACCCATCCATCCATCCACACACTCTCTTAACCACTAATCCAATTCAGGGTTGTGTCAGGGCTGGCACGTATCCCAGCTATCACTGGATGGGGTACATCCCGGACAGGTCCCCAGTCCCTGACACAGAGACAGACAATCACTCACACTATATAGCCAGTTTAACCTAACGTGTAGCTCTTTGGACTGTGGGAGGAAGCTGGAGTACCCAGAGAGAGCCCACGTGAGCACAAAGAGAACATGCAAACTGCACACTGAAAGGCTCCAGCTGGCCGTCAGGTTGGAACCAGGAGCCTTTTTGCTGTGAGGCGACAGTGCCACCCCCCTGTTAGTCACTCAACATTAGAGCAACGTATTATACATTCCACTGGTCCTTAACCAACAAACTCCCCAGTGCAAAGCCCGTGTGATGTTGGCATGTGTGAATAAAGCAGGCAAGCACATCTGAGCAGACTGAGACTCTGAGAAAGGACACCTGTGGAAATTATCACTACTAGATTCTCCCCAAACTGCCAGAACTTCATGTGTGAAAGCAGCTTATTTTATTTATTTAATTCACCAAAGCATATTCTAATTTACTGGGAGTTAAACAGACATTACTGGCTCTTCTTTTGCAGTTAATACCAAGAAGCAGCGCTGGTACCTGTACATTGAGAGGGACAAAGGACACAAGGCTGTAATCTTGTACGACCTCTGCCAACTTTTCATTTAGGTGGCGGAATTTTTTAAAGAAGGGGTCTGCAGCCAAGTGATCGAGAAGATAGGTCAGGTCCATGACCTCTGTGTAGAAGTCAAGGTTGAAGGCTGGAAAAGAGTACAAGACAAATGTTACCAAGGATGATGATGAAAAGCAACCAGTTGTGAAATTCAACAACTCAGCTGGCAATCAATGCCGGTATAGTTTTTTTTCTTTCATCCTACTTTCTTAGAAGGGAAACAAAGAAATATGATTTCTAAAAAGACCTTTAATGTCTTAATCTCACTGTCTTAGAACATTTATCCAGCACAAATCAATGCGATTCATCAGATAATCTCTGACTACAGCCTGTAAAATCTGTTTAAAGCAAACCCTTATTAACTCACCCAGCTTGCCATACTGCTCCATCAAGTCCATCTTGGAGAGAACGTTGACATGGGGAAGCTCGACATGCAGCATCGTAGACAGCGAGGTGCACAGCACTGAAATGAACTTGGCTGGATCAGCACAGTAATGAGAGTCCACGAGGTGCACCGCTGTGAGCTAAAAGAGAGGACATCAGCCCTAAAATTCATCTTATGGTGTTAATATAAATTCACCTTGTTGTGTTAAAGCTGTGTATACATGATGGCAGTGTGGGTAAGGTAGGAGCTGTGAAGGCTCAGCAGACATACAATAATTATCTAATGATGAAGCTCACCCTGAAATTCCACTTGGCCAGCTGTGAGAAGATATTCTTCACTGAGTTCTGGTGGGTGTAGAGCTCCACCTGTCCAGGACAGTCAAACAAGAAGTAGCAGTCACTGTACTGTTTCAGCTTCTCCTCCAACCAGTCCAGATTTGCTTCGACGTATTCCATGCAGTAGAGAAGTCCACCATTGGGCCCCAGCTTTAAACCTTCCATGACATCGTCCAAAGTCACCAGCTCTGAGATATCTACCGCACAGGAATAAGGTATCCCTTCATTGGCTGGATCCATATTCACAACCACCACCTTGCGTCCCAGGTGAGTCAGAAACTCTTGCATCCCTTGGCAGTAGGTGGTTTTCCCCGAACCCGGGGGCCCAATAACCACCTGACCGAAACGCAGGGAGGGCTTCGCTTGTGTCTGCTTGGACATGGCTTCAGACTCGCATTAGATGGTGCTAGGATGTCCTGTGCAGGGTACCAACTGGGGTGTTGGCTGGCAGTGTCACAGGATTTGGTATCAAGAGTTCAGTTTTTCTTCCACCAACTACATTAAAAACTCTTTAAACACTAAATAAACCTGGACCTGCCATCCACTCCGGTCAGACAAGACTTGTACAAAGTAGCTATTTAAATGTTTATGTACGATAAATCGTAAGTCTACTCAAAACATATGTGCAGGTCCTTAATATAATGTTGATTTTTACTGTAAATTACAGCAATACTGACTGATATTTACCGTTTGCTGATGCTATATTTACATGCGTATGGAAGTCGCTAACACATGCTAACGCTACTCGGAAGTATATCTAAGTTACGTAACTGGCGTGTCAAAATAAAAGCCGGTTGTTAACATGGCGCAACGTGCAGGACTAATTTCAGACTACATTTTTTTCTAAATCATCTCATCCTTGCTCAAACACCACATTATTCCGTCATTAATAGCTTGGTACAATTCATACACATGTGTATAGTTAATATAGGAAAACTAGATTTTGTGTGAGATTAAAAATTAGAGACACTAATCACATGAAAAAAAGATTTCAACATATATATATATATATATATATATATATATATATATATATATATATATATATATATATATATATATATATATATATATAAATAAATAAATGTGTGTATATAAATATATATATATATATATATATATATATAGGAGAGAGAGAGAGAGAGAGAGAGAGATAAGTATGTGTGTGTTTAAAAAAAAAAAGAGTTCCATGATGTTAAAATGGTTTTAATTAAATTTTATTAAAGTCATCTTTGTGATCTTTGTGGGCCAATGCTGCCACCTGGTTGCCACCCTCTGTACTTCATACTTGTGTTCGGCTGCCGTCTCAGCAAGGTATCGCCTCTGTCTATGTCTTTGGGTTTATCATACACTGTAGTTATATGATAATCTGTTCTGGCCTTTTTTATAGGATGTAAGACCAATTTCTCTCCATGATACCTGCAAAAAAGAAAAGGAAAAAAACAACACAGCATCAGCATCACCTACCTCACATACCAAAGCTTAAAATTATATTAGCTGTTAAGCTGCGTCCACACTGGAAGCAAATTGAGTGACATCCTGCAATTTCAAGTGACTAAGGGCGGAATAACTGCTGGCGTTTGGGAAGTGGGTTGGATGTAAAATTAACTTCTTTTAACTTCCTCCATAGGATCGAAACAACTACCAATGAGAGTGAAGAATAGCAGTATTGATTGACACCTGAGCCTGGAACAAGCGACCTGCCGTCAGCTTGAGAGCAAAGTCGATCAAAATCTTCCGCTGATTGTGCTCATGCTCACCCAAAGCCTCTTTTACAGTTGGGATGTTGCCCCTCATTTTCAAGTGCTTCAGAAATTCCAATCTGGCTGTTTCCTAGGCCTTCACCTTCCCTCCAGCCGTGTTTCTCCATCACACGACGCCCAAAGCCCTAATCAGAGAAAAAATATATGTGCAGTTATCTGATGTGTAACAAGAGGAAAGATTAGATTAAGTTATATGTGATGGCAACCTCCTCACCTTAGTGAACCTCTCAAAGCGGCCAATAGACTGATTGTGCCCCGATCCATCTTCATGACCCTCCCTCAGCCTCTTTTCATACCGCATTGTGACGTAATCTCGAGCATCCATGTCACCTCCATCTGTAAAAGGACTTGGTTATAGGAAATCTGACTCTGCATTAATAGAACACAGTTTAGTTAATTAGGGTAAAAAAATTTTACCTTTATCATAGTAAACACTCATGTCAACATCCCAGTCATCGGCTGTTTCTTCATCAAAGTCTGAAAAACGAGAGAAACACACATGAATGTAATCACACAGTCGCTGTTGTTTTGTTAGCTATTTGTTCATGATGTAAATCTCTGGTTACATCACATCCCTCTATTGAATTGAGATCTGGTGACTGTGCCATTTGAGAACAGTGAACTCATTGTCATGTTCAAGAAACCAGTTTATGATGATCTCAGTGTTTTCACGTGGCTTGTTATCCTGTTGGAAATGGGTACACTGTTGTCATAAAGATGGATGTTCATGGCGAGTAGCAACACAAAAGTAGATTGTGACATTTAAATGATGGTCAGTTGGTACTAAGAACCCCAAAGTGTGCTAAGAAAATATTCCACACCCCAGCAGTTGACACAAGGCAGGATGAATCCATGCTTCCATGTTGGTTACTCCTAATTCTGATGTTCCAGTGTTTCCAACATTCTTTTCCAGTCTTCTTTTGTCTGGAGTTGTTGAACTTTTGTGAACATCAGTTTCCAGTTCTTAGCAGACATCTGCTGCTGTAGCCCATGTGCTTCAAGGTTTAACATATTCAGATATGCTGTTCTGCCCCCCCTTTTTTTAACGAGTGATTATTTGAGCTACTGTTGCTTTCACTCATAAAGAAGTCTGGCTGTTCTCCTCTGACACCAAACGAGGCATTTTCACCCACAATTTGCTGCTCACTTTATATTTGCTTGTTTTTGGACCGTTTTCTGTAAAACCCGACAGATGCTTGTGTGCGAAAAACGCCGGAAGATCAGCAGTTTCTGAAATACTCAGACCAAACTGTCTGACAGCAACAACTATGTTTCAAGTTATTTAAACCAGCTTTCTTCCCTATTCTGATGCTTGGTTTAAGCTTCAGCAGGTCGTCCTCACCACGTTCGCATGTCTAAACTCATTCAGTTGCTGGCATGTGATTGGCTGATCGAATTTTTGAATTAACAAGCTACTGAAGAGGTGTATCTAACAAAGCGGCCAGTGTGAGTATATTTGCAATTATCTTTTAATGTATGTTATTGTAGAGCGGAATTTGTTTGTCAGCATCTCCACTGAATTGATTTCTTATACTAATTAACACATACAGACACGTTCAGTTTGCCTTTCCACACCTATTTACCTAAAGTTTGCTTAATAACCTGCACACCCCATTGCTCGTTTATTAACACAGTATAGTATGCAAGCTTTTTTCTTCAAAGTGCATTAGTGTTTTTGGTGCCTACCTCCTTCTTCCTCTTGCCAGTACTGAGCATCAGTGTAGAACACCAGACCTGAGCCTCCTTTTTCCCACTTCAGCTCAATCTCTTCTTCAAACAGTCTCTCTTTGGTTCGCTCCTGGCTTGTTACATCATCATGCAAAGCCTCGTGGCGTTCCCACTCCTCACAGCAGTCATCATCCTACAATCAATCACATGAAGAAATTAGCAAACTACAATAAAGGGATGATGATGGTTTTAGTTAGGCTGCACCTAATGGACAGCCGACACAAACGAAAACCAACACATTTATCCAACACGCTGACAGACAGCTGGTTGATAGGACTGAACTGAACCTACATCATCAGCATTCGACTGCGCATCCTCTTCCTCTGCGTCTTCCTTCTGTGCTTCATCAGCCTCAGTGGTTTCTGTGTTATCACCCAGCTGCCTCGATCCTAAGGATGAACCAGGCAAAGTACCTGGTCCTGATATTTCATGTCCAGCAGCTGTTAATACAGTCTCTTCTGTGGCTGGAAGTGTGCAAGTGTCATGGTACTGGAAGGGCACGTTCCCATAGCGACGGTTGGAACTGGTCTTGGGGAAAGTGAGCCCTAGTTTCCGAATGAGGCGTGGAGGCAGGCGACAGGCTTGGATGAGCTGGAGAAACACTTTTACGGATGTGCCCACATTCCCGTTCTGCATCAGAGCAGGTGGATTCAGTTCGGAGAGGCTTCTGAGGTCGGCCTCTGTGAATCGCTCTGTTAAGGAAACACGGTGCCGCTGTTCATACTTTGTTTTATAGGGGAAAGATCCGTCATCTGAAAGAAAGGAAAAAATAATAATACATGTACAAAGAGTGACAAAAACCACACGATGTGAAAGGTTCGTGCACCTCTTACTTCTAGGCTGGGTCATTGTAATTCCTTACTGTCAGGTTCTCCTAAAAACTTCCCATAAAGCCTTCAGTGAAAAACAAAACAAAACAAAATGCCGCAACGAGAGTGCAGACAGGCACTAGAAAGAGAGATCATATTTTTCCCCATACTGGCTTCTCATCACTGGCTTCTTGTTAAAACCAGAACTGAATTTTAAATCCTTTTCCTCACATACAAAGCCTCCATCTTATCTTAAAGACCTTACAGTTTAATATCATCCCAGTAGCACTCTCAGCAGGCTTATGATTTATGGAGTTTCCAAAAGTAGAATGGGAGTCAGAGCCTTTAGCTGTCAGGTCCTCCCCAGTGGATCCAGCTCCCAGTTTGGATTCAGGAGACAGACACCTCTTCTACGTTGAAGGTTAGGATTTAAACGTTCCTTATTGATAAAGCTTATAGTTAACATCATAGTCATAATTTTTTTTGCTACAGGCTCAAGGTGCTGGGCTGAGGCTTCCCATGATGCACTGAGCATATAGTCTCCATTCCCATCTTTTCACCCCCCATATGTTTAATATGCCACTACCGCATGATCTTAACTTTTCTTTTAGTCCTGCTTGTTGTCTATATGCTCCAGCCTGAGCCTTTTTCAGCTGGAGGTCTCTTCCAAATAAAATCAAGTTCTTTCAGACACCAGTATAGGAGACCCGTGTGCCGTAACGCTATTGCCTAAGAGAGGCCTAAATTCAAATCTTCCCTACAGCCATTTACTGTGTGTCTTGCCCATGCTCTTTGTCCCAGCTTTCCTGTCTTCTCTCCAATAAATGCTGCCCACGGCGGATCTTTTGGAATCTCTCTCCAACACTGTGGGGTGACTGTAACTCGAGAGGTAGAGCAGGTCATCTACTAATCAGAAGCTTGGAGGTTTGATCCCTGGCATACAGACTGGAGAAGTGTTATAATATTGAGTTGTATTTTGAGCAGCTTCAGCAACTAACCAAGTTTCTCTCATCCATCAGAGTGTCAGTGTTAGACAGAAAGCAATTTAAAAAGTGCTTCTATGAATTGGTGAAGGAGACAAGCTGTAGGAAGCACAGCAAGTGTTCAGGTAGAAGAAAAGGGTTAAAGTATATAAGACCCAGCCAATTGTAATGTCTGTCTTCTTCTTTCAGCTGCTCAGCCGTTTTAATAATCCTCCACATCTTTTAAAATTCAGTTTTGCTTTGTTGATTTAAAAGCATTTCCCCAAATATAAGATAAATAAATAATTTCTTATTTTTATAATTCTGGCTGTGATTTTCTTCTAAGGCTCACAACAGAGGCACAGGAACTACAGCTTTTATCACTGGATGATAACTAATACTCCTCACCTTGACCTGTCAATGACTAATGTGTCATGTGCCACATTAATACGTCGCATATGACATAATTCACCTTTGT